TCCGGAGGACGAATTGCGAAGATCCTCCTCTGAAGCTGCCCAAATCAATCCCAACATCGCCTTAAACTTGTCCCCTCGAGCAGCCTTCAAGAAGAAATCTAAGCGTAGTATGTTCAAACGAATCCAATCTTGAAAGGGAAAAACCTCTGCAGAGGACGATGAACGCAACTTTGCTTGAATAATGGAAAATTGCGCACAAAACAAATAATGATGTTTCAATATATTAATATATATATATTATTAGTCAAATCTCTATTATTTCGTTGTTGGTGTCGTCGTCGTCGTAGAAATTCCAGTACGTAGCAAGGTTGGAGATTTTGGTAGCACAACGCTCGAATTCATACAATATGACGCAGCTGCTGCATTATTGTTGTGATTCACATCCGTTTCTATCATAGAGCTACTCTACCTAGCTCTACTAGAGAGCTACATAGCAATTCACGAAACGATGCGACGATGATGAGTCAAAAAGAATGAAAAGTTTCCCCTCCCCCAAATATTTAACTGGCGTTGGCTACTACTAGACGTCCAAATTTGACGTTCGACTACCGTACCAGTATGATAGAAACGTACATAGAAAATAGAAACACCACCCATTCTTTTCTTCCTCCATCCTCTGTATGGAGCTCTATGGTAGTAGCTAGGTAGCTACTACTACGGTTGTAGGTACGGTACCGTACCACGGTAGCTGCGTTAGTAGTAGTCGAGAAGCTCATGTTGGCAATACTGGTACCGATAGTCTACCGTGTCGTAAAAACTCATCAATCAAACAACACGACCTACGACCAACGACTTTCGCTGAAGAAGAGAATTGTTCTTCCTGCCGTCTCTTTTCTTACATAAAAAAAGTTCCAACAGATTGGTTGTCTTGTGTCACTAACTCTCCTTTTACATCGACCTGTAAAATTTTTCCTCAGGATGATGATGCCATCCACGGCAAGGACTGTGACGTCGGTATCGTCCCGTCGTGCGATTGTAAATAATATTATTGTTGGCAAGCACCATAATCATCATCGACCGATGGCGTCACAAGTTTCCCAAGGTTTGGCAGCAGCAACAAGTGCAGATAATGTTATAATGTTCCAACAAAAGGATGGTAACGAGGATCGCCGTCGTCACTACAAGTTTTACAGTACCATGATGATGACATTACCGCAACAACATTCCATCTTGTTGTCTGGGCATAGATCCAACGATGTCGGGGACGACAAAAATAATACTACTACCAAGTATTATTATCGACAAAAAAGCAACCAGCACCAACCGATGCAGCAACAACAACAACGTCGTGCTTTTCATTCGACGCCATCCTCCGAACGAGCGGCCGCCCTCTTGTTGGGCTTGGCATCATTGTCGGCTTTGGCCTATGCCGGTTCGTCTGCCATTTCATCGTATAACGAATGGAAGGCATCTCAACCGACACCGGAAGAACTGGAACAAATGCGCAAACAGGAAGAAGAAGAAAAGGAAGAACAAGCCAGACAAAAAGAACAAGAAGAGTCAGCAGCATCGTCGTCCAACACCAAGAAACAGTCCAGTGAATCGGACGCTCCCCGTCAAAATGTCTTTCGACAATGGTTCGACGTCGGCACCAAGTATTACGAGGGAGGTTTTGAAGATACCATGACCCGGCGGGAGGCGGCCTTGATTTTAGGCGTCCGCGAATCGTCGTCGCATGCTCGGATCAAGGATGCCCATCGTAAGTTGCTCATTTTGAATCATCCCGACACGGGCGGCTCCACGTACCTAGCCGGAAAGATCAATGAAGCAAAGGAACTCTTGTTGAAAGGCAAGGCCAAATGACAATTCGGTACACACACTGTACTTGGTAATCACAGTCAGTAGGAAGATTGATGAAGAAAGAAGAAAAAAAAAGGAACAAAGCTTACACTATGTAATATAGTACAATTTACGATTCCTACTTTTGCTTTTGGAGTGCTGCATTGATCTTTATGAGATGCGCTCGAATCAGAAATTGTTGCTTGGCATGTTTGCGAATCATTTTCAGATGCGTAGTGCAATCGATTTGTCCCGCGTACATGCCACGATCCAAAAAGTACATGAGATCGGTCAGTGCCGCATTTTCTGCCGACAAATCCAACATTTGAGCATGCAACTTGTTGATGGGTTCGCAGACGTTATCAATGCCGGGCTCCTTTTCTTCTGCATTCTTGCTAGCCTCCAACCATTCTTCGATTTCTTTGGTTTTGGCATCTAACGTTGTCAAGTGCTTCTCCAATTCGGACTTTTGGTTGACCAAATCCTTCAAATCGGCCTCGATGCGATCCCTGGTCTGTTTCAGTTGCTCTTGATCCCTCCAATCGGCAGCCAGTGAACTTTGGTTCTCTTCGACATATTGTTGTAGATAGGTTCGTATCTTCTCGTTCACTTGATCTCGGATTTGTTCCGTCTTTTGGGCCTCCCATTCCTTTTGTGCTTGAACCCGTTCTTCTTCCTCCCTGGCAGCCTTTCGAGCAATTTCTGCCGCTCGATTAGCCTCTTCAGCCTCCTTGGCCATGATGGCTTCGATCTGTTCTTGCATGTACCGTTCCGAGTCCATTTGTACCGCTGATGATGTTGCAGATGACACATAGCTAGAATTGGCGGGAGGTGGCGGTGATCGATTGCTGCTAGTCGTCACGTACGGAGTCAAGTTGGAGGCTACTGCTGCAGCAACAGGTGGCGGTGGCGGTGGTAACGGTGCAGGAGCAGGTGCTGCCCGAGTAAATACGGGAGGGTCAGCGGAAAAGACACTACTCATGGCCACCACCATTTCAATCAAACTATGAGTGCGTGGATTCCACTCGTGAGTATAGGGCATATAAACCATCCCGTCACTTCCTACATGTGGATGATTCTCTTTGAGATACTTGGAAGTAAGAACGAAAACGAGAGATGAGAAACGGAGTAAGTGAGTGAAGAAGAAAATTTTCCGCTTGTTTATTCGTTCTTCTGGTGAACGCATCCACCTTGTTTCACCGTCATGTTTTATTGTGCAGGTCGATTCCTTCTACACAACTACTCACCATGTTTTCTGCCAATCGAACATACGATATGGGAGGACGAATGGGATACCCCGACGGCAGATAAATGTCCACCAGCAACTGGTAGGTCTGGCCACGAAAGACAATGGCAATAGTTCCCTGCAAGACCAAACAATGCGACGAATCGCCATTGTTTTCCACCAGTGGGGCGATTCCAGGCGTCAGATGCACACCAACTGAACTCTTTAGAAGACTGGAGGCATCTCGATCGACACGAAGGGGATCTCGGTACAAACCGCCGAGGCGGCTTAGAAGTGTAGAGACTCTGGGGTCGTGGACCATGTCTGTACCGTAATACAATGTGTGGTTGAAATGGAGTAGAGTGGAAAGGAAAGGAATGTGGATGAGCAAAAAAGGAATGATGTGATATGTCGTGGATTCAGTTGTTGCATTAACTGTTCAGCCGTCTTGTAGAGAAAACGTCTCGCCAACTCGAGTACTTCAAAGTCGTACCTGTACGTAGTAGGACGTTGTAATTGGTACCGCACTACGGTAGCCAGAGAGTCTTGCTTACAACATTTTATGAAATATGTTGGTGAAAAAATACAATAAGTAAAATGAGATGTTATTACAGTAGTAATGTATTATTCATATATTTTTTATGAGCTGTTGTTGTCTCGGTTTGTCTCTTGCCGGGATTGACAAGTGAAGTCGTGAGTGCGACTTCCGTAGAGTACTGCGGTTCAATCACGACGACGCTGCGACAACGAACAACGAGGACTATGACTTATGACATTGGCAGCAGCCATCGACGGAAAGAAAATTGTTCACAACCATCTTGGCAATCTATGATACTTCTCCTTATTCATGTCTACTACCGGTAGTCGTGTCTCACATTGCTGACTGACGCGAATCAGGGAGGAAGAAACATTCCAGCAATGCGTCACATCTACACATCCTCCTGGTCTCTGTTGCCTGTAACAACAACAGCATTCTTCATTTACACGGTCTTTTGGGGGGTTGGTAATTCTGCTCCTTCTTTAGAAACGTGTCTTTGGCGATCCTTGTTGTTGGTGTCACCATCTGTTCCCGTAATATCAACAATACCATCAACTTTCCCATTGTTCGTCCATGCCCTCTCCTCTGTTGGCGAGGTCGTACGGCTGGCCGCACGTCAGTACCATCCCCAAAACAGTAGACCATCGTCACGCGAGTACTCTACTCGTAAAGACGAATGTGCCACGCTGGAAATTCAAACATCTGGCTGTGTCGGCGACTACAATCACTATCGCACTCTAGCGCTTCAATCGACGCCAGATCGGGCCGTTTCGCTGCTGACGTGCGACGTGATTGAGAGTCTGCAAGCGACATCGTATCCCACTTTGGAAAGGGGAGATTTGGGAGAAAACGTTCTCATTGAGGGACTGTCGTTTCGATTCTTTCAAGTGGGGAAACAGTATTGCATCGACTCGTCGTCGTGTGACGAGGATGAGGTGGAAGCAGGCGCTATCCAAAGAGAAGGAGCAGACGGTTCGGCCCCTTCCTCCATCAATCATACTGTGATATTGGAAATTACAGAACGAATCCAACCATGCGCCAATCTCTGCAAGTTGCCCTACATCAATGATGAGTCGTTAACGCCCAAAGAACGAATTGAACGGTGCCATGAATTCATTGTTCACTTGGATCAATGGGATGGCTATCGGGGATGGTATGCCAAAGTGATTCAGCAGGGAATAATACGAAACGGGGCAACGGTATCGAAATTGGGTGGTGGAAAGTGAAGAGGACAACTGCGATTACAGTGGATCCGGTACGATGTTCGATTCCAAGTACATATTAAACAACTCATGTCGTACAACTACCGTATAGGACTCGGAGGACATTGTATACGAGAAAAGAAACTTCCATTCCAGGAGACAACAGGCCTTGTGTTTGTTGTTGACTGTGAAGCATTGTTTCTCTTCGCTCGTAGATCACTTATTATAAATCTAAATTTTTGCCTTTTGTGACGTTGCACAGTTGCCCGAGAGGTCTAAGGGGTGGCACTTAAGATGCCCTAGTCATTAAGACTGCGTGGGTTCGAACCCCACACTGTGTAACTACTTCAGGGTTGTGGACTACCTGCTGAACACTTTTGCTTTTTGCGCTCTGTTGTAGTCGAAGTAGTCGTGTGTGTATCTTCCACTGTCAACTTGTTCACTCCCTGTCACCACAATAACTTGAAACTGACTGTGAGGCCGAAAGAAGACACAAGATAATCCTGGTGCTATTCGACATGATGATCAATAAGTTGTGGCAAAAGGAACCATCACTTAATCACTGCCATCATCGTCGTTGTTGACACAGTTTTTGACTACAGGACGACCTTCTCCAAGACTCGTCACTACAAGAAAAAGAGGAAGAAGTCAACAGTGTCGACTACCGACAATGCGACAACAATAACAATAAAAACATAGCATACTCCATCGTTGAGGGAGACAACACGGTAGGCAGTCATCACATGGCAACTAAAGTGTTAAACTTTAAGTCGTGCTAACTGTAAAGTACGTCGTAAATCTCAAATCTCCTTTGTTTCGTCTGTGCTGTGTCGGGTTGGTCGTCATTGTTTCGTTGGACTCGTCGTCGTCTGCTTCTTGGCTTTTGAGATGATGAATGTGTGGAAGAACAATTTTATGATGATACTACGTATTGTACTTTCAGTAGTATTTAAAATATCATTCTATATTATATATTTCATCCCATATCTTCAATCTGTTTTATTTTTATTTTTTGTTTGGAGGTTTCGGAGCGTGGAACGATGTCCATGATAATAATATAAAACGGAAGTAGCGCTACTGTAGTAGCGCGATTGTATTCTGTACGGAGTACCAGCATGAATCGTGACACTCCAGCATGAAAGATGCAAAAACGGAAAAATGGTTAGTTTCGAACTGTGAATTTCCCAACCATAACAACAACCATGCTCTTTGACTCCGGAAGACGTCTCACCGACCCCTCACTTTTTTCTTTTCAACACAAGCACAAAATGCTTTCATTTCCAAAACGTTCTAGGAGTACAAAAGATATCCCCGAATAAATCATCATGAATAGCATCAAAGCACAATCGAGGCCCATATCCCAAGCAACTATTTCATCAGCTGTTGCTAACCTCTCGGAGGACCTCGCTCGGCAACCCTTTGTGAAGCTTGGAAAGGGCAAGTTCATCCTCAAAGCCACCGGAGAAGAATTGACTGGCTATGAAAAGCAAAAGGCAGCCTCGCTTTGGTATTACCACTGTAACAAGAATCCTGAACAGCAGGCCGATAAAGCAGCTTACGACAAAAAACGCCAGATGCAAAGAAAGAAAATGAAATTGGTTACAAAGCGAGTAGTGGCACTTTTCGCTGGGAATCTTTGCGAGGATGATCTACCCAGCGAAGGTATCGAAGAAATTTTCTCCGTTGCGGATGCCGAGAAGGAAGATATTTTGGTTAAGAACATGACCATGGAAGCGATGGCAGATCTTCAAGAAATCGCCAAAGATCCTGGTTTGAACTTTTCGTGGATAATGGCTAAGGAATGTTATTTCAATGGCGAAAGAAAGCCAAATCCCGACGATCCCAAATCCCACATTCGAGCGAAAAGGGGAATGAGCCTGGTCGTCGACAATCGCGACGAAAGAGTTCTGTCGTTGTCTGGAACTGATGGAAGTGGAAGGATTAACTTTGGCCAAGAGCCTACTCCCCCTTCGGCAGTTGCAGTAGCACAAGGAAAAATAACGTCGCAGGAGCTGTATGTGAAGGGTCGACAATATGGTAATTATTGGAAGGGCATCGCGACGAGAGTCGAACAATCTCTTCAAGAGGAGAGCAAGGCTCATGACGAGACGAAGATCATGCTAGACATGGCAAAACAAAAGTCGGCCCGAGCTAAGGCCAAGTTGCAGAGGGTCAGAGCTGAACGTCATTATCTTCAGCAAGAGTTAACGAAGTTACGCCGCAAAAAGCGTTCCGCTGAGGAAAGTGGCATTTTCTAACATGTGGACGAACATGCCCATCGTCACAAGGCAGACAAATAATAAGTACTCAAAAATCGATCTTTCATCTGGCTTTGCTCCGCTTTTCCCATTGGCACGACTCTTCGATTGCACACACCAACACTCTTCGTTCGCAGACTATGCCCAAATAGAATCTATAAGCTTTCGTTTCACCCACTTAGTAATCCCATCCCTGGGAGTTCTACTTTCCCAGCCATAATCGTCTCAAGCTTCAATCTCCCTTGCCATTTAGAAGGCAAGTGTTGATAAGTGGGACTCAAATCCTGCTCCGTTGGATAGGTGATGTTGGCCGTACATCCTGCTTGTATGACTTTCTTCTGCATGTATTCCTCTAGCGTAGCAGTGGCATTCAAATCATTGTATCCTGCTTGAATGCCACCCCATACGACACAACCAGTCTTTTTCTCGATAGTACTGTGCTCATAGGTGAAATCGAGGAATCGATGAATCTTCTCAGGAGGAGAAAAGGCATAAACTGTCAAGGAATGGATCATCAAATCACCGAGCCTCCGACGATAGATCAGTCCTTGTCGATCCACAAACTTCAAGAACCTCTGGACAGCACGGCTTTGGAAAAAAGAAAGCTTTGCGATGAAGAAATTGTTGTACACGCCGCACATGTCTAGATCGATATCACGAACAGGTAACGGGGAATTCGAAGCTCGCCAGAGTGTCCAGATTCGTTGGGTGACCTGCAGTTCATATGCACACAAACGAAAGCCATAGTTGAAGCGATTCTGTGCCATGAAATCAAACAAATCGTATTCCACTGCAGAATGTAAAAAAGAATCCTCATCAAACCGCATAATATAATCATAGTTGCAACCAGTCGCTTCCCCGTGGTCTTTAAAGAAGCGCCATATATCAATTGCAAACCAGTGCATCATTTTTCGATAGCCCTCCGAAAACAAGGGAAACGCTTAATTCAAACGTGACAATTAGATCCTGCAATCGAATGAAGATGGGACTAGAATAATGGTCAATTGGTAACTTACCATACCACGACAACGGGTTTTCTTTTCGATGCCATGGAGGACGCTGCCAGTATGTTGTATTGGAGATGTCAACAAAATAAAGCACGGAGCGGAACTCGGAACCCAGAAGCGACTCCATCAGATCCATATCCTCCTTCTTGAAATCGGCAGTATGAAATATCATCAAGTCTGTATTGTCCCGATGGTTTTGCAAAGACAGATAATTTTGGTTCAGGAGCTTGAGCGATTCAAGCAAAATTCCAAAGCTGTCTCTTCCATAGCTGGAATGTTGTTTCTGCGCCAAGTAAACGATGGCGTTTTTCCGGCACTGACGCTTGTCGTCGCCCTTGATAATTCTCGGTTTTTCCAATCCATTTTCAATTGAAATTGATCTGACTAGTTCCTTTTCAAAAGCATCAATATCCACGGGAAGCTGACCAACTGTGCCTAGAACCTGCCTTGAGACATTCTCAAATTTTTCCGCACTCATTCGATCTGGATCCTCCCAGTTCACACTGTGATTGTGTAAGTCCAGATTGAGGTAAATGGCGGCCTCAGACACGGCAGAGTTGCCATGTAGCAGAAGCTGGCATTTCGACATTGCCAAAATATCCACCAACGTCTCACTATTCGTCCGGTGATGCTTCTCAAGCATGTGAGTTGGCCATTTCCAAGATGACCGGACAACATGATTGCCTTGTGTCCTAATCATCCTTTTGAATACGGGAGAAAACTGCTCGTCGATGTATTCGAGCGTCCAAATGGAATCAGAAGCAATGTAAATATCCTTCCCTCCAGCCCGAGCGAACGCATTGAAATACTCTTGAAATTTTTTGGGAGGGAATTTTTCTCGATGAATTCCGTATTTTCCCGTGTTGCGAAGATGTACTGCAAGGCAAGGCAAAGAAGTTTCATTGACCGGATTCACTTCTTGGGCTCTATTTATGATAAATGGGTGAAACCGGAACCATCGTTTGACGACGTTGCTGGCTTTTCTTCTCATCGGCTCTAGCCACGATTGTAGCGTTGTATTGTTTGGTCTCCACAAATCGTCGGGCAAATCATCGTACTGCCAGGCTTTTACAGACCAAGGTGCCAAAGAATTCAATCCTGGGGCCACCATCCCGGCACTGATGGATAGAAACGGCTTTTCCGTACACGAGTCGTCCCCAGGAACAAAATCAGAGACTTGTTCAAAATAGCTCTGCCAAATACCATTCCCCGTGAGGCGAACCGTAGAATGACCTCTTCCAGTCGAAGGTAATGGTGGCCCTGGAAATGCCAAAGAAGTATGTTCCTCGCGCATGGATTCACTAATTGTCATGGAATTTGGAGTGTGTCGATAAAGAAACTTCCCACTACCGTGAATGTCTTTGTCGTAAATATGACGGGAAGTTTCGTTCAAAAAGATCCATGGCTTCAGGTTGTAATTTTCTGCATAGATAAGTTGGTTCAAGACCGACGTGAAGAAGGAGCTCGCGATTCCTTCTTTTTCGCCTGCGTGGGCAATATGAAGTATGCCATTATATTCTTTGCATGCCATATTACTTGGAATCATGTCTGAAAGTGGTTTTGTTTCATACAGCGTCCACCACTTAGGAGGTCGTTTCTGCACAAGAAAATGTGTAGCATTGCCGCCTTGCACGACGTGTCTCACCAACTCTCCAAAATCGCTTTCATTCAAATGTCCTGGGTCTTCGAGGTTTACTGAATTATCATGCAGATCAACATTGATCCAAATACTAGATTCAGTTACGGCACTCAAACCGTGAATTAAAAATTGACATTGAGACAATGCCAAAATTTCAGTCAAAATTTCGGTATTGGTACGATGGTGCGACCCAATGTCAAAGACAGCCTGAAAGTCATTGGATCGGACCACATCATCTCCCATTGAACGAATCACCTTTTTGACATGCCTGGGCCATGATGCTTGAATATGTTGCATCACCTTGTGGGAATCCGTCGCTAAATACACCCACTTCCCACCTGCTTGTAAAAATGCCTCGACGAAGGGTAGAAATTCGTCCGTCTGGATTTGTCGTCGACCAGCAGCCTTGTCGGATTGTCGAATATGTATACCCAGAC